CCAGAGGACTTGCATATTGTCCCCTAGGAAGGACCTTCTCTTGTCAGTCTGAGATAAAAGCTCAGCTACAACCTTGTCTTCACTGGTCAGGACTCCTGTATTCAATTTCTCAAAATGAGGCTCTCTGCTCAGCTCCCGGGGCTACGGATGCTCTGGGTGCCTGGTAAGCACAAAAGGAGATGAGTGTGGAGCATGGGGTGGAAGCATGAGCTCTGGGACTCCATAGTGTCCCATGCTTATTCTGACCAAGTGTTAGAGGTGTATGGCTTATGTTTCAGGGAAGGGAATTTATAATTTGCCCTGTGAATAATTAGAAACCATCTGAAAGGAACAACGACCAGTACTCTGAATACTATCTTGAAAAATAAAAGGATCTCTTGTACCTAGTAAATAATGGGCTCATTGTTAAAAGTTTATTTTTTGTGATGTGAATCAAAATTATTTATAAAAAAATAAATCAATATTATAAGCAAAACTTTTTAAGTTCATAATGTTTTTACACAACTTTGTACTTTTCTCTCATTGATTCACCATCCAGTGGGGACATTGTGATGACCCAGACTCCACTCTCCCTGCCCGTCACCCCTGGAGAGCCGGCCTCCATCTCCTGCAGGTCTAGTCAGAGCCTCCTGCATAGTGATGGATACACCTATTTGCATTGGTACCTGCAGAAGCCAGGCCAGTCTCCACAGCTCCTGATCTATTTGGGTTCCAACTGTGCCTCTGGAGTCCCAGACAAGTTCAGTGGCAGTGGGTCCGGCACTGATTTCACACTGAAAATCAGCAGAATAGAGGCTGAGGATATTGGCATTTATTACCGCGTGCAAAATCTACAAATTCCTTCCACAGTGCTACATCCTCAAACAGAAACCTCCCTGCTGGGGTTGCCCAGCTGCTCACATGCACCGCTTTTCTGGGTAGGAGCTCCGCTGGGTCTCTGCGTTTGCAGAAGAGGAGGCTGTTGGAGAACTGAGGGTCAGAGTTTGCTGCTAACAACTCTGGCCCATGAATCCTCAATTGTACCTTAATCTCATATGTTAAGGCCCCATCAGCTGCCACCACCTGGGAATAACATCAGCAGTAGGAGAATTCAGTTGGCCACATGCCCTGTGAGCAAGCAGCTATGACAAAAAAAGAATGAATAAAATCTTATCTTCACCCTCCCTGTCTTGCCCACATTTTTCAAATACATTTTGTTGGCAGAACAACCAGTCCATGGATGCAGATTAGCGACAACACAAGGGGAACACATTTTGGAAATTGCCAGTTTAGGGTGTAATACTTGGTCATATTGAGATACTGTTTTTGTCCCACTTTACCAAAAACTTTGTATCTCTTTTATCAATTATAAACTACACTGCCCTCTCCAGTGTCATGCTGAGAAAGCATTCTACACAAGCTGTCCTCAGGGTAGGATAGCTAAGAATAATTAGTAAAAATGTTTGATTTTTGGCTATTCATAGACTTTGTAAATTGACGGCAGATATAAGACTCTAATGCCAAAATATTTTAATTTTCCTCAATTACCTTCTTTCCAGTGAAACAAAGTTCTTGCAATTCCAAAAGTGAGTTTTGAACATAAATAGCATATTCAAAGATGTAGAACACAGACTTTACTAAATGCAATAATGTATGATGTTTTTCTTCTTCACCCCAATTTTAAGAATTTAAAAATATTTAACCTAAGTGCTATTTTAGAGATGATACATTTACTATGATGCTCTCATAAGAAAATATTTCAAATAATACATAAATATTTTATCTTCATATTACTTCATCATTACCAGAAAATGAACAGAAATCCTTTCTTTTAGTTGTAAAAGCACAAAAAACTTATGCTTTCAATTGATTCCACTGAAAATAGTGTCCTGAAGTTCTATCAAAATTAATGATGAGTCATGTCAGTTACATGACAGAACATGGTGTGACAGAAACAAAAGAATGATTGAAGCAACAGAATAAGAAGCTCCTGCTTCAGGCATAGGGTTTAAAGTGTATTTGAGATGATTTTCAACTCCAAGATAATGAATTTCATGGCAAGCGCAATTAAAATTTCAGTGTCATTTTTGTTAAATTTAAAACGTGTATGGATAAATTTATATAGAAATCAATCAAACTGGAGTAATCAAATTAAAAAGCACAACACTTAATACGCTATTTAAAAGTACTACTAAATGCAACATGGAGCTTAAAAGATATGAAATATTACAGAATGCAGTGGGAGACAACAAAGTGTGAGTGACTAGAGCAGGAGGTGAGCAGCCATTGTGATCGTTAGCCCTCATGTGATTGACAGCACCTAGTCACTATAGAATCTGCTTTCATGTGAGACAGGGGATAAGTTCTAAAACCACTCCAAGGTGGCTTAAAAAATGAATATGCTCAAAATTTACATGATGGTGATACCCCAAGGGGCTACACTCTTAAATCGAAGTGTTGAAAATAAATGATTCCAAAAACTGAAGTGGACACCCAGCAGAATCAGAAGACAACCAAATTGCCAATTACAAAGCATCCTCAAGGTATGGTGGACTAAATATGACAAGGTTTCTGTGTCTGTGACATGGCAGGTCAGAAACAGGCAGGTGGCCTTGATGGTGTGGGTAGCTCTGCTTCATGAGGCCACTCAGGTGGGCAGGAGGCACGACCACTCTCAGAGCACAGCCACCCTCCTTCCTCACAGTGGCTGCCCCAATGCCCATCCTCAGCAGCAAGAGTGGAACAGAGTGGAGAGAACTCTGTTTTCTTCTAAAGATAAAAGGAAATTTCCATCAAATTTAACAGCAGATAGATTTGAGGGGACACAGTGAAACCATAGCACTGACTGATGGAAGGCTCATTCCAAGCCCTGTGGTCTGCCATGCATGCAGGCAGAGCTGCCTTTCTCAGACACAGCAGTGAGGGGCAGAGATGGCCATGGGGAATCAGCAGAAGCACATTGAAAGGGAAAGGTCTGGGTGCAGACACAGACTGATGCATCCATCCAGAAAAAAGGACCTGTATCTTCCACCTGGAGCTGCATCCCTCTGGAATGATGTTTCTTGGCAGGTCAGTTGCAAGTCAAGGAACCTGGGAAATAACATCTCCAGATGTGCTGCATTTGTGTAATGTTTATTTCAAACTGAAAGCATTTAGAAAACATCAATTGGACAAAGGCTCTTTTACTCCAGAAGGAAGCCAATTGTCATGAAAACCCTCCCTGGGAATGTTGATCTATCAGGAAATGTTAACATGCACTAGGAGTTAAATTCAAAAGAGATTGGAAGTTGACTTCATCCAGACAGGGGTATTACCTATTTTTTTGAGGACTCATTTATTTTATTTTATATCATTTACTCTCCCTAGGTTGCTTACAGTCCCCACCTCCCTCTCCCCTATGAAGGGTGTATAAACACCTGGATCTCACTGGGTTTTCTGGATAATCACTCTCCTTTGATATTTCCTCTGCATGTTAAATAAATTTGTTTGCCTTTTTCTTCTATTATTTATCTTGTGTCCATTCATTTTAAGCAAACCTTTAGAGGGCAAAATCAAATTTTCACATTTCACCCTATACAAGCAAGTTTCCTTAAAATTCAGGCCCCTGAATGGGCAGCAGGTGGGCGTGTGCAGATGCTACACCACAGTCATTTGGCCACTCCTACTCAGGCATCAGTAATACTCCCCAGAACCCCAGGCTGCAGCCCACTGATGCTGATGTAGGTGGATCCACTTCCTCTGCTGCTGAACCAGGCTGAGATGATGTGAGACATAATGGGTCCAAATCTATGTTCAGTTTTATCCAAATCCAAGTGATTTCTCCATATACATGGGCATTTGCTTGATAGGAGATGGAGACTCTCTGTCCTGGATGTCAGACAGGAGGCTGGCATCTTGGTCAGAATGTCCCCACTTACTGCTAAACAGTGAAAGAGGAAAGTGGCATTGATAGTGCAAGGCAGGGACATGCACTGAGCAGCAGCTGACCTCCCTAGGAGAGAGGGTTCACTGTACTGATCTTTCCCAAGTTCTCTCCTTCACGTGCTCTCCAGAAATCCAGGCTCCAGAGCCCCCAGAAACATGCTGGTGAGCAGTGCCACTCAAAGCATTACTGCTCTTTTTATTTTAGAGAAAATTGATCCTTAGATAATTTCAAGTTTATCTTAATCCATGGTCCTATAATTGGATGAAGAAACAAGTAACTCTTTTTTTGAAGTAATCAGATCTGGCATCACTAGTGAGCCCTTTCTTCTTATAAACCCTGGGAAAAATATCCAATGACAGAAAAGGAGGTATAATAGAGAGATCCCCAAAGCAAAAATAAGATGCAGCTCGTATAATGTCTGGGCATTACTGAGGCCTATAAGTTTGCATAATGGTGGAACTGTGAGTGATACATGCTTTGAGGACTTATAGCACCATTTTTGTGTACCTGCAGTGAATTGCTTGACCTTGTACTGATAATAAGAATGGCTTAAGGTTATTATAAAATACTTACAAATATACTTAGCATTATCTCAATACATATTTTTCTTCATTTTTTTAAGAAGGAATAATTTTACACTCACAGAAATGCTGTAAGCATAGCACAAAGTACCCCCCTCCCTTTCAGAGTATTTTGAAGACATGCTGATTCCACACTCTAAAAACTTTACTTTTAAGTTTCCTACAGAGAAGAATATTCTCCCAAATAATCCCCATATGCCAACGGAGTACATTACTCCCTCAAGTACTCAACGGTATTTCAAATTTTGACAATTATCAAAAAATATTCTTTGTTACAAATTGGCCCGCAGGAAGAAACAGATTAAAGACAAATCTGGGTTGCCCCAGTCTGACCTGAGACCCTGGGGACACTGTCCCTGTGCTGGGTTACTGAGATGAGCCAGCCCTACAGCTGTGCCCCGTGGGCCCCATCCCCTTCTGATTTGCATGCTCCCAGAGCACAGCCCCCTGCCTTGAAGACTTCTTAAAAGGTTGATCACACTCTGTGCAGGAGTCAGTCTCAGTCAGGACATAGAATGGACGTGGGAGTCCCTACCCAGTTCCTGGGGCTCCTGCTGCTCTGACTCTGAGGTAAGGAAGGAGAACTCTGGGAGTTTACTTAGCCACTGTGCTCAGGACTGGCTGGATTTTCGGGGAGGGTTTCTTATAACATGATTGATTGTGTGGATGTTTGTTTTTATGTTTCCAAACTCAGGTGCCAGATGTGATATCCAGATGACCCAGTCTCTATCCTCCCTGTCTGCATCTGTAGGAGACAGAGTCACCATCACTTGCCGGGCAAGTCAGGGCATTAACAATGAGTTAGCCTGGTATCAGCAGAAACCAGGGAAAGCCCCTATGCTCCTGCTCTATTCTGGATCCAGTTTGCATACAGGGGTCCCATCTCGGTTCAGCGGCAGTGGATCTGGGACAGATTTCACTCTCGCCATCAGCAGCCTGCAGCCTGAAGATGTTGCAACTTATTACTGTCTACAGGATTATACTACCCCATCCACAGTGTTACAAGCCATAACAAAAACCCCCAGGGAAGCAGATAATGTGAGTCTGCACTGCCCTAGCTACTCCTCCTGGTGCCTCCATCTGCTGAGAACATTTCCCAAATAGCATCCACACTTTGAAGGTCATTGGAAAGTTTTTGTACAAGGTACACTGAAGCCTCTTCTTTAACTTAACTGTCTTTCCTTCTCCTCATCCCCAGCAGCACAGACATGGCAAAGCCTCTTCTGATTGCATTATGAACAGAGATGATTATGCCTGAGAAGTCTGAGTTATAGTGTGGATTGGAATTAATATCATAAAGGAGACAGCACTCTTGGAATTCCAGGTAGAATTTTTTCTCAATACAGGAAATGGGAATCTAAACTATAGTCTTTAAACTCTTGGAGGCATGGGAATAAAGATACAAATACTAAAAATGAAGGATTCTCTGGATCTTACCATGAATCCAGAGTGCATCTGTCACAGAAGGTATAATTGCCAACCACATGGTCTTCAGACATATCTGGGAAGCCCAGGTTTGGGGCTGCTGATGGTCTCTGCCTGGAGAACCTGCCTGATTTTCTAAGGCACCTGCTTACAGTTGACCAGCAAGGGTCCTATTGCGAAGAGACCTAGCAAAAGAGAATGATCAGAGTAAAAGGTCAATTTCTTCCAGTGCCCACCTGGTCCCATTTTCCCTGAACCCTCCCTGTTGCTTATATAAACCCTTTCATGGCTCTGTCCACTGACTCACTGAGCTCCGGACTCTCTGGTTTCCTGGTTCTGCCCTAAACAAGCCTCACACTGCCACGCCCTTGGATCTCTAATCTCATTGCTTTCTCAGTGGTGATGCTTTTCCCCAGACCTTTCACGGACTTCATTCCCCACTCCCAAAGCCAACCCAGAGCTTCTCATCTTAATGATCCCTCTGAATGTGTTCATAAGACACTCTACTCCACACTTCTGTCTGAAGCACTTTTCACGTTCTGACTCATGATATAATTTATTTCCTTATGATTTTACACTTGATAGACTGACTCCCTCTAGTGGAATTTAAGCTTCATGGGGTCAGGGGCCATGGTCTATTATTTGCATTGCTGTATCCCAGTGTAATGGGAGCACCCGGCAGACAGTAGGTGCTCAGTGCGGGGCACTCTTCCCAGGAGTCTGCATGTCTAGAAGTCTGGGAGGACTGTAAAGAGTGGAATAAATTGTTTCTTATATGGACAATGTTCCCTTTTCCTTTTTTTATTCCTTTTTCATACTCAGTCTTTAGGAAATAAGGAAAATTACAATTCTCAGAACTTATGTAATTTGTCTCAAGTGATATTTTAGGTTGTATTTCCTAAAAACATACAATAATAAAATAACATTATTGTACTCAATTGATTACATTATTTTTCATATATAATGATATATAATGTATGCTACATAAGTTATAACTACAGTAAATTCATTGACTTCCGATTTAAAAGACAAAAGTTATCAGATTATATCAGGAGTCAGATAATTGATATTTCAGTTTTGTTAGCCAAGAAAGAAAACTGAATACATTACCTAGATATTTAAATAAGAAAGAAAACAAATTTCTGCAATTGTTATTAATAATTTTAAATGGAATGTAATTCAAAGAGCTTCTCAGCCTGTTCAGGAGAACCTCACTCACCACTACATGTTCACAATTCTGAGGAAAACAAGAAAACGCCAGATAAGATTCTCGTTTCCATCAGTGGTGTGAAGAGAGGTTTTCAAAACTGTTAAAGGGAAAAGAGTCTGAGTCTGGGTGAATGGCTGTGTTGTGCAGAATGGAGTGCTCTAGAGAAGAGAAGATGCCACCCCCAATTTTTCCTGGCCAGCAGGACAGCACCATCATCACTCTGCAGGGAGTGGAATCACACACTGAAGACTCTGAGCATAGAATCTGCTTATCTTTGCAGCTGTTGTCACTCATTCACACACAGTGCTTGGCCTAATAAAGTGATGTCCTTTTCTAGTTCTTCCAAAGAATGGAAAAATGTTCAGGGCTCATAGAAAAGATGTCTAAGCTGCAAAGGAGAAGTGTGTATAGAAAATGAATTTCTGATCAATGACTTCAGGCAGGTACAATCATGCAGCCAGGAAAATGACTGGGCATGTTGGGGGAAGAAAGAGAAGAAGAAACCACAGATTTTTATTTTTTTTCTCCCAGGAGGTTTGTACTAAACACCATCTGTCTGAGCCTAGGTAACTGGTGAGGTAGGAGGACAGGGATTAAATTGTGTGTCCAGAGGGGAAAAGGTCTACCCCCATGCTGAGCCAATAGCTTTCTGACCTGACTACCTGGGCAGGGGCTTCTCAGTGCAAAGAAGAGGAGGCAGTGGTCTCTGCAGAAGCACAGCAATTTCCATGCTTCTTTGCATGTTCCTCCTAGCCATGCTGCTGTTCAGAGCTCATATCAATGTCTGGGTCAGAACTCAGGGGAAGAACGGCTCAGTTAGGACCCAGAAAGACTCACAGAAGCTCCAGTTCATCTTCTCTGCCTTCTGTACTCTAGCTCCTAAGTGAGGGGAAGAGTAGATAGCTCTGCACTGAAACTCAACCTTGTTGGTTCCTCTGACCTGACATCCCTGCTGAGCAAGAACAGTAATTATAATTCAATGTAGATCAGTGATTGTGGCTATACTATGAGGATGGTGCACTTCATGTGGCTTATGTGGGTGGCTTTCCTGTTATATTCCTATCTCAGGTCCTCCAGAGAATTTATGTTGATGCAGTCAACTGACTCCTTGTCTTCATCTTCAGGGAACAGAGACTTCGTCATGTGTGTGTGCAGTCAGAACACTGGGAACTCTTTAGCTTGGTATCAGCAGAAACCTGGGAAGGCCCCCTGGTTCCTCATCTATGGTGGATACAACAGGGCCACTACCATCCCAGAGGGGTTTAGTGGTCATGGATCAGAGACAGACTTTAGTGTCACCATCAGCTGCCTGGAGCCTGAAGATTTTGCACTGCTTTGTCTTTTTTGATCTTTGTTGTTTTAAAATTTGTTTTGTCAGAAACTGCAATCTCTACTTTTTTTGTTTTCCATTTCCTTGGTAGATTTTTCTCTATTTCTTTATTTTGAGCCTATATGTGTCATTTGTCATTGCATGTGACATGGGTCTCTTGAAACAGCATACCGATGAATCTTAGTTCTTTTCCCAGCTTTCTACACTATGCCTTTTAATTGGAGCACTTACCCCATTTACATCTAAGGCTATTGTGAATATGTGTGGATTTGATCCTGTCATCATGTTAGCTGGTTATTTCACAGACTTGTTTATGTGGTTGTTTTATTGCGTCACTTGTCTGAGTACTTCAGTGTGTTTTTGTAGTGGCTGGTAATGGTCTTTCCTTTCCATATTTAGTGGTTCCTTCAGGAACACTTGTAAGGCAGGTTTAGCGGTGATGTATTCCCTCAGCATTTGCTTGTCTTAAAAGGATCTTATTTGTCCTCACTTATGAAGCTTAGTTTGACCGGATATAAAATTCTGGGTTGGAGCTTCTTTTCTTTGAGAGTATTGAATATTGACCCACAGTCTCTTCCAGTTTGTAGGATTTCTGCTGAGAGCTCCACTGTTAGTCTGGTGGGCTTTTATTGGTGTGAGAGCTGGCCTTTCTCTCTAGCTGCCTTTAAGGTGCCACCTTGGAAACAGGAGCAGCCCTCACCAAACACTGAGATTGCCAGTGGCTTTACCCTGCACTTTCCAGTGTCCAGAACTGTGAGAAAATAAATTTGGGTTGTTAATTAACACCCAGTTTAATGTGCTTTTTTTTCAGTACAAGTGTTTTGAGAAAATCGTTGTAGAACTTTTATTGTAAATTGAGTGACTATATATATATGCAGAACTGGTTTCAGATTCTCTAACTCATTGTACTATGTTATCTGTCTCATCCTTCACTAAAACAATAAATTAAAAAAAATTTTTTATTTAATTAATTTAGTATTTTTTGAGACAAGGTCTTGCTTTGTTGCCTAAACTGGAGTGCAGTGCTGCAATCTCAGCTCACTGGACCCTCTGTGTCCCAGGCTCAAGGGATCTTCTTACCTAGCCTCTCAAGTAGCTGAGATCACAGGTGTGCACCACCAGGTCCAGCAATTTTTTTTGTACTTTTTGTAGCAGTGGGGTTTCACCATGTTTCACAAGCTGATCTCAAACTCCTGAGCTCAAGCTATCCACACACCTCAGCCTCCCAAACTGCAGAAACTACAGGTGTGAATCACTGCACCCAACCACAGTATGGTTATTTAATATAGATTTTCATTTTGAGTCCTTCCATTTCTTTCTCCTTATGTAAAATTACCATGGCTGTCTTTTGCCTCTTTGCTTGTCCATTTAAGTTGGAAACATCTTTTCAATTTCAACAAAAATCCCCAGTGATTTTGATTGTCACTGTATTGAATTAATTTGGGGAGACCTGTTATGCTTACAATATTAAGTTTTCTAATATGTATACATGGAATCAGTTTTCATTTATTGGGTATCCTTGATTCTCTCTCCATTACCTTTTGTACATTTGCACATACTCTTTATAACTTTTTATTTTACCATAATATCAGAGACAAGCTGTGAAAATATTGTAAGAAATATAAAATAGACCCAGGTTCATTTGGTATCAATAACTGACTTTCTAATTCTATATTCCTTCTATAAGTTGGTATTCTGGGTACTATTGATGCAAACAAAACAAACTACCCCCAACCTTAATAACATATGAAAAGTGCAATCATCTGCCTATCATCTCTGCTCTTCTGGATGTTGCCTGGGCTCAGAAAAGCTCCTGCCAGGTTTTCCTAAGGATGCAGTCAGAGGGTGGGTGGGGAAGGTGTCATCTCAAAGGTGGTTGACACTGGATACAGGGTTCTCAGTGGGGGCTGTTTGCCGATTCATACGGCTACTTGGTTCCCTCAACACTTCCCCCACAGGAGTAGACAGAAGTTATACAGACTAAATAGCCTCTTATAGCCTCACAAGGGAAATAGTGTTACTTCTACTACAGTCACATCCCCACCAAGAGGCAACAGAAATGAAGTATAAAGCAGTAGGCTTAACAGGAGGAGCGCCAAAATCACACTGTTAGAAGAAACTGCACGATAAGAGTTCTTGTCACAGGCATTTTGGAGGATGCAAGAGGCATCAACGCACCCGTCACCAAAGCAATTCACATTTCTCCCAAATGCTAAATACTCTCAGCTCCACATGCTCAAGTATTATCCCATGATAGTGGGATAGTGTTAGGGTACCTTCAAAATGATATCCTGGGGGAGTGATATTAGCAAAATGACAGAGTAGGGGATACTAACTTTAATCTGCTCCCCTCCCCTCCCACAAAAGAAACCATAAACGCACATACAAAAAGCAAAACCAACAGTTAGACAGCTCTCTAAGAAAGAAAACATCCCTTGGAGACCTCAAGGGTCCAATTAAATAAGTGCAGAAACACAGTGGATGAAAATCCCAGAATTACCATACAGAAAGCATCGCAGGGAGATGGCACATCTGAGAGTTTTGAGACATCTAGGAACAAAGAAGCAGGAGGCAATTGTTACTAGCCAGGAGGAAAGGCCACTGCAGTCCCCACAGCCTGCTCTGTGGAGGACCCTGCAGCCTTTGCAGCTGAGGACCTCAGTATCCCCCAAGGTAGCTCCACTCTAAAGCTTTCCTGATGAAGGTCTCTTAGTGTTCATTGATGAGGATCACAGCAGCCTGTTCCACAGAGGACACTGGTGGTTTTGGCACTAAAAATACCTGCAGCAATGGGCATGTACATCACCCCAGAGAGGAAGATCCTGCAATACCGTCCCTCCACATCCTCCCAAGAAGCAGCCACTGTTGTGCTGCCTGGGATGGGGCTGCCTCCCAGCCCCAACTCTGCATCATCCCAGATCCGAGCTCCAGGACCTCATCCTGTGTTGGCAGCTCAGACCCCGAGCCACTTCCTTGTGGACCAGTCCCACCCCAGGCCCAGAGCTACTGTCACTACAAGAGCACCCACACTCCAGAGCCTGGCCCTGAGGCTGCTCTGAAAATTACCTAAGACATAACGTAAATAGAAAATATACAACAACACTGTAGAGTGAACTGCAGAGAATAACCACACAGAAAGCGTCTCTGGGAGGTGGCACACCTGAGAGACCTGAGAACTATTGGCAAATGTGTCGAGAGTAATGAAACATGTTAGTCTATAACACTAAAAAAAAAAAAAAAAAAGAAAAGGAATTTATTCAGGAAAACATTAAGATGTGCATCAGTATACAGATCATAGTTCAAATTCTGAATCACATAGGAAGAGAAAATCTCAAATGTATTAAGAAAAAAATTGGTTCAATTTACCAGAGAAACAGTAATAAAATCCTGGTTTAACTGTTCATGGGACCAATAAAGGCAAGAAGACAGTGAGATTACATATTTAAACGCTGGGTGGAGGGGACTCAATCAAGGATTCATTATCTAGTGAAAATATGCTTCCAAAATAAAGGTAAAGTAAAAGCATTTCTTGATGAACAAAATGAAGAGAAATGATTTCTTGCAGATATGCTGTATAAGACATTTAAGAGGAAATTTTTCAGAATCACAGGAAATGACAGCAGATAGCTGAATGCACATAAATTAATGAAGATTTCACAAATAGGGAAGAAAAGTGCAAGAGGCAAGGAAAAACAACCCCTAAAAAAGGTATTTCCTTCAATTTATATGAAACTCTAGTCCAGGGAAAACCAAACTATTGTGATGAATATCTGAATTCCAGTTACCTTGAGCGGGATAGGGGAGCAGCTGTTGCCTGGGAAGGTCCACGAGGAATGAATCTGGAGAATTTGAAATATTCTATAGATTCTTTGGGATAGAGAACATATGTAAAACTTAGTTGCATATTTAACATTTCAGCCCTTTGCACTGTGTGTGTATTACCTCAATAAAAAAATTGAAAAAGCTAATTCTAGACTCAAACAAATAAGAACAAAGACAGAAGAATTATCAATTATTTATGGAATCTCAGCCGTACTAAAGAGGAGTGAAAAATGCACGTGGGAAGAGCTAAGAAACAGGAAATCTAAGAGAGAAGATGAAAGGGACAGGGAATTTATCCTACTCATGAAGCATGGATTTTATCTCTGTTGGTTTCCCTCCAAACAGAGAAGATATTTAAGTTATTTTTCTTACAAGAGAGGCCCCTTCACACCCCCCTTGGCTCTTTCCACCCCACTGCACCCACCAGGGAATTTGCATACTGTCCCCTAGGGAGGACCTTCCCTTGTGAGTCTGAGATAAAGGCTCAGCTCCAACATTGCCTTGACTGATCAGGACTCCTCAGTTCACCTTCCCACAATGAGGTTCCCTGCTGAGCTCCTGGGGCTGCTAATGCTCTGGGTCCCTGGTAAGGACAAAAGGGAGATAAGGGGGGAGAATTGGGTTGGAGGGTGAGCTCTGGGGGCCCCACTGCCTCTCACGTGTGTTCTGTGCATGTGTTACATGTGCTTACGTTGTCCTCCAGTGTGGGGCAGGTGATGTCCTGATCTGTGAGAGTGAGGAAGATTCTAGAAGAAGCAAGGGCCTGTGCCCTAGAGAAACTCTGACTCATGAAGAGGAGGATGAATTTGGGGACTTTTTTGTGCCTTGCATCTGTAGAGTCCTTTCTTGAAATTGAATAAGCTTGAAGTATGAATAAAAGTTGCAAAGAAATTATTAGATTGGTGCAAAAGGAATTACGTTTTGTTTGCAGTTAAAAGCAATGGCAAAACCCGTAATTACTTTTATATATAGGCTGAAATGACAAATAAAAAATTATGAACATGATACGTAATATTTGTATGTAACCTTGCACTTCTTTCTTATTATTTCAGCCTCCAGTGGAGATATAGTGATGACCCAGACTCCACTCTCCCTGCCTGTCACCCCTGGAGAGCCGGCGTCCATCTCCTGCAGGTCTAGTCAGAGCCTCTTGGATAGTTATGGATACACTAATTTGAATTGGTACCTGCAGAAGCCAGGCCAGTCTCCACAGCTCCTGATCTATTTGGGTTCCAACCGGGCCTCTGGAGTCCCAGACAGGTTCAGTGGCAGTGGATCAGGCACTGATTTCACCCTGAAAATCAGCCGGGTGGAGGCTGAGGATGTTGGGGTTTATTACTGCATGCAAGGTATACAGCTTCCTCCCACAGTGCTACATCCTCAAACAGAAACCTCCCTGCTGGGTTGGCCCAGCTGCCCACATGGGCCGCTTGTCTTGGGGAGCAGCTGAGCAGAGTCTCTGAGTCCGCAGAAGAGAAGGCTGTTGGAGACGTCAGGGCGGCGTTTGCTGCTGAGGATGCTGGTCCACGAGAGCCTCAGTAGCACCTCCGATCCTACATGTTAAGGCCCCACCAGCAACCACAGCCTGGGGAAGGCATCAGGAGGAGGAGAACTCATGGGGGCCACGTGCCCTGGGAGCAACCGGCTATGATGAAGGGAGAGTGAATGAAAGCTCCCATCCTCACCCTCCCCATCTTGCCCACATTTGTCAAGTTCATGCAACTGTCAGAATAACCAGACCATGGATGCAGTTGAGTGACAATACCAGTATGGTAATACATATGGGAAATGACCATCTTGGGGTTTATTTCACCCACAATGACACTTAGTCATACTGGGAAATTCATACTCTCCCATCTTCCTAATTCTTCTCTATGACTCCCACTAAACCCTTCTCTCCAGTGTCTTACAGGTAAAAGCATTCTACACAAGGGGAGTACAGCTAACGCTTAGAAAAAATGTTTGATGTTGGATTATTCAAACAGATTTTGTAAACTCATGGCAGGTATGAGATCTTAATGTCAAAAGATTGATTACTCTTAATCAATATTTACCAAGTGAAAACAGAGTTTTCACAATTCCAAAAGTGGCCTTTGAAAATAAACTGCATAAACTCAAAGATGGAAAATATAAAGTTTATTTCAAGTGAAAAAATGAACATTCAGAATTATGTGAAATTTTTATTTCTCTTCTAAATTCTAAAGGTTTTGAAATAATTTAGGCTAAGTTTTATTTTAGAGTAGAAATGTATTACTATGTTTTCAAAAGAAAATGTTTCAAATAATACAGAAATGCATTCTTTTCACGTAACTATATCATTACCTGAAAATGAATCTGAGTTCTATGTTTCAGTTGTAAATGCATGAAGCATCGATCCTTTTCATAGATTTCATTAAATATAGTGTTCTAAATGATATTGAATCCAATAATGAGTCACATGAGCTACATATAATAATACCGTGTGATAGACATAAAATAATGACAGAATCAACAGAAGAAGATCTGCTTCAGGCTAAGGGTAGAAAGTATACTTGGATGATTGTTTATTCCAAGATAACAAATTTCACGGTAAGTGCAATTAAAATTTCAAAGTTCCACTTCTGTTAGGTTTAAAATTGTATGGAAATATTTATATAAATATCAATCACACTGGAGCCTTCAAATGAAAAAAAAAAAGTGACACCATATGTTTTTAAAATACCGAGAAATGAATCATTGAGCTTAAGAGCCATTATACGTAATTCAGTTAAGGAACACAAAGTGTATAGGGGCACGGTGACTCACGCCTGTAATCCCAACACTTTGGGAGGTCAAGACAGGTGAATCCCCTGAGGTCAGGAGTTCAAGACCAGCCTGGCCAACATGGTGAAACCCTGTCTCTACTAAAAATACAAAAATTAGCCAGGTGTGGTGGCATGTACCTGTAATTCCAGCTACTCGAGAGGCTGAGGCAGGAGAATCGCTTGAACCTGGGAGGTGGAGGTTGCAATGAGCTGAGATCAAACCATTGCACTACAGCCTGGTTAACAGGGCGAGACTCTGTCAAAAAAAAAAAAAAAAAAAAAAAAAAAATGCAAGTAGAATGACCCAGAGGTAAACAATGATATCGTCATCCTTAGCCCTCATGTAATTGATAGCCTCTTGCAACCTTGAATTTCTGCTTTGCTATGAGACACAAGATTAGTCCCAACCCATTCAAGATGGTTAGATATCTTAAACAAACAAACAAACAACTTATGCAATGCTGATGTAACAAAGGGCTACACTCTCAAAACAAAATGGTGAAGGGTAAACGATCCCCTAAACCTGAGAGAAGATACAAGCAGAATCAAAATGCGCGGGTACAAAGAAGCCTCTAGTTGCAGTTGACCAAATGTGACAAGGTTTCTGTGTCTGTGTCATGGCAGTGCAGAGGCAGGTGGGTGGCCTTGGTGGTGTCAGAGACTCTGGTCCATGAGGTCACTCAGGTGGGGAGGAGGCATGACCATCCTCAGCACACAGTTTTCCTCCTTCCTTACGGTCGCTGCCCCCACGCTCATCCTCAGAAGCATGAGTGGAACAGAGTGAAGGGAAAGCAGTTGTCTTCTAAAGATCAAAAATCTTGAACTTGCAAATAGAAATAAATGTTATTCTTGCTCCAAGTACACATTGAGTGCACCTGATGATAAACCCACATTTTTTGTATGCTTTAATCTGAAAATGTATTTGTATGATCCTTGGAAATAATTTTTGAGTATAAATTATATTTTAGAAGTTTATTTCAAGTTGTTATTTAGCATATGATAATTACTCCCAAAATGTCATCTTTTTAAAAACAAATCATCTGTTGCTCTAACTGTCCTCCACTGAAAGTAATTTCTCTATTTAACCTCATCAGATTCCTTTTAAGCTCTGAAACTCATCTTATTTTGTTTTTACTGATTTGATACGTTAAGTCTATTACTTATGATAAATTTATTTATGTAATTATTTCGATATCACAAGTAGAAAAAGCCTATAAACTGTTATGCCAAAAACCTGCCTCTAGATGGCAAGCAAACCCCACAATACACAAAAGACAGCCAAGTTCTTAGACACCCTGGGAAAGGAAGAGGGCTACAGTCCCATTAACAAGTTGGAGCCCTTAAGGCGAGAATGAGGTGGAACATCTGGAACATCTGAGAGGAGACACCAGGCTGCGGAGTAGTGGGGAATCTGCTCTGTGCTCTGAGACTGAAAGCCCAGCCTTGCCTCTCACCGCTACCTTGACTGTGTCCGCATCTGCTGTGAAGTGAATGGTGTCTTCTAAATTCATGCTGAGCCCTAATTGCTGAAAAGTGTAAGACATGGAATGTGGGGATTATGTGCATCTCCCTGACACCAGCCTGATGCTCCGGAAGGAGACTCTTGTTTTCTCTTAGGATTCTTTAACTAACCAAGATTTTGCCTCTACTGCACATTTCCCTTTCCTGATTGTCCCTCTCTATTGACAGAGATGGTCCAGGGGATTCACTACTGAGTCTCCACCTCTTACCCAAAGCCCTGAGTCTAGGGTTGCTCTTTTCCTTCTTGTTATTTTTGTTTGTTTTCTTGTTATCATCCTGGCAATAAAATAAATCAACTTTTTGTTTCTACCTATTAAAGATGTTACCTTAGTTAATTACAGTGGTTTCCTTCAGTATGATAAATGGTCTTTCAAAATGATGTAAAGAGATCCAAATCCATGTTCTTCAGAAGTTGCATGAAGCTCTATCTAGCATGAGTGCCAGTGACTCTCCCAGAGTGTTCCATGCAACTGGCCCCAGAGAGTCCCTCTGTGCTGTCATATCACCCACTGCCTTCTGTGAATGAGATATTCTGATTAATATCCTGGTGCATACTCTTTGAGCCAGCGCCCATACAACTCCCATGAAAGCTGAAGACCACAGGCCCCTGAAGACAATCACAGGTCTCTACATTCACAGCTCATGACTGTCCTCTGCAGACACGGCTTCTCCCGAGATGACTGAGGGTAGTCATTGGCTGTGTCCTTCCTTGTGCATGACAACAGGAGACACAGAAGGTCTGTAAGCAACCCTGCAAGCCAGGTTCCTAGCAAGCCTTCCTGTGTGGGGCCCTCTTACTTGGACATAGGTATGTAAACCAAAAATGAAACTCTAAGCTCCCTGGCCAACTGAACGAACTCCTCCTCTCAGCCAAGAACACATCAAAATCAACCTGAAATACAGTACAGTCCATGATGGGAATGGATGATTGGATATGCCTTAACTTACCCTCTTCCCTTTAAAATTCAGACATAACTGACCATCGCTTAATATTAAGACAGAGACCTTGAGACTGACAAAGCAAACTGTCTGTCGCAATAAGATACCAACACGACAGATGCCAGGCCCAAGGAGAAATCAAAGTATTTTCCCCAAGATATTGTTATTTAGTGTATTTTAAAAATGCCTCTGCAAAGCTGTTTCTTGTGGGAAAAATCTACATTTGGTAGAGATTCCCAACCCTTTTAAGTCTCTCTCCTGACCCAGAGCAATTTAACTGATTTAATTAAGAGTTTGGCACCTTTTACTACAATCTATTCTCGCTGAAACCTGCTCCCTGGAGGCTTCATCTTCATGATGAAACGTTGGCTCCAAAACCCTTTTTTTTTAGACCCAGAAACTCCCTTCTGTTGATTACAGGTCATTAGATAAACTCTTTTCACTGTCCATGAAATCTTCGAATCCACCTATGACCTGGAAGTCCCCAACATGCCCCCTCCTTCGGGCTGTCCTGCCTTTCCATATCAAACCAATGTACAGCTCACACATATTGATTGATTATCTTATGTCTCCCTAAAATGTGTAAAATCAAGCTGTAGCCCGACCATCTTGGGCACACGTTCTCAAGGCCTTCTGAGGCTGTTTCACTTATATGTCTTTAACTTTGACCAAATAAATTTTTAAATTGATTGAGACTTTTCTCAGATACTTATTTGTTTATAGGTATCACTGTATACACTTAAGGAAGTGAAGAGATTTATGACCTTGAGAAAATGAGGAAGACAAGATGTGTGGGGAGAGAGAGAGTGAAAGAGAGGGTTTGAGCTTGTGATGTGTGTATAGGACTAAAACTGAGACCTTGATCTATGATGGTGTAGTACTGAGTATCATCCCCAAATAGTGAGGTTTCATTCCAAGAAGCATATGCCTGTATCTGATGTGGGAAATGGGCTTTTGCAGGTATAAATTAAGGAACTTGAAACAGGTAGATGATGTTAGATTAATCAAGTGGGCCCTAAATGCGAACACAAGTGTCCTGAGAAAAAGAGAGGTAGAGAGACATTTACCATAGACTGAAGAGGAGAAGGCAATCTGAACGCAGAGATAGACATGGCAATAACGTGTCCACATCCAAGGAGAGCTGGAGCCACCAGAAGCTGAAAGAGCTAAATCAGACTCCTTCCTAGAGCTTCTGAAGGAGCTAGAACCGATGTCTCCAAGATCTTAGCCCAGTGAAACTGATTCTGGACTTCTGGTCTCCAGAACTATGAGAGATTCCATTTCTGTTGTTTGAAGCTACCACATTTTTGAGAACTTGTTACAGTAGCCCAAGAACACTAACACAAATGGGGCGCTCGGCAAATCCAGACTACAGGTGCTGTGGTGGTTTTTCAATCTCCTTGCTTAACTTTCTGATATCAGACATAAATAGATTGGTGAAAAATTTTGTGATTGAAGAAATGCACATGAAACCTACAGTGTACAGAGAGGCATCTTTTAGTTATAAGATAAATATTGATAATTTTAGTTGAAAATGACATGACTGGTAGTATCTCACATAACATTCTGAGTTACTCAAGGATGCATAAAAGGGGCATTAGATACTCTTCTCGTGTGTGTGTGTGTGTGTGTCTGTCTCTACATGTATGTTTACTTCATGGTGCATCAGCTGGTGGAACCCTGAGGACACCCTTTCATATCCTCAGTGCCCCATTTCACACATGAGGAAACTGTTCATGAGAGCACATGGCTGATTTGCATAAAAGTCACTTGGTCAGCAGTTGTTGAAGCTGAACTTGGAATCTAGGTCTGTCTGACCTTAACTATTTTCCTTCCACAGAGCCACATTCATTCCGTGGAGGAACCCACCACCTATAAAACCAGAGAAGAGACAAAGCCAGAAGTGCAGGGTGGAGTTCTTAACCCAAGCTCACTG